ATGTTTTTACAGATGATCTAATATACCATAAAAATAAGTTTCCTCAAATTAGGTAATAAAAATAAATTACTGCCTATCAAATGAGGCCAATGCATATCACAGCTCTAATTAATGAAATATTAAACTCCCATCATTCTACGAAATTAGTCCATTTTTTTCTTTTTACCCGTCCCACAAAATTAATCCATTTTTTATTATAATAATAATTAATAACTAATATTTCTAATTAAAAAAACTTAACTATATTTTATTAATTTACTAATATCTTTAGTTTTATTATTTGTTAATTGTAAATTTAAAAATTGGGCTAAAATTTTGAATAATAAAATAATAAATATTTAATATTATATATAAATATTCATTTAATTTTAAAATTAAATTTTAATGTAATATATAATAAAAATTTGATGTTTAATTTTAAAATTTATGACTGAAAAATTAATTAAAAATGAGATTTGATATTGATTTTTTTTTCTTTATTAAAAAAAATAGAATTTATTTATAAAGAAAAATTATAAACTTATTTTTAATTTCGGTATTTGACGTAAAATATTATATTATAATACCGTGTATGCAATTCAGTTATAGATGGTTTGAGATAGTATACCAAAAATATCCAAATATATTGTATACCGTACCAAAATTTTAAATTTATTAAAAAAAGATATCGATATTGTATCAAATAATCAGTTTATACAAAAATACAATTTTTTTTAATATCTATATACATTGAAAATATCTTATTGTATACGTTATCGTACAAAAAAGTCATATTGTATCGAGATTTTGAATTTTTGGTATTTTTTCACGAGTATGTATGTTATTTCCGTAATTCAGTATTTTTTATTCGCAAATTCGATATACCAAAATATTTGTACGGTACGGTAAAATATCATACCAAAAATTTTGTACCCGTACGTATGCGATGTGGTATTAAATTTTGTATTACATTTTTTATTGTATAAATTACATTTAAGTTATTAAAATTATATATGCTCCCTCCGTCCCGTTGAAAGCGTGGCGTTTGCTTTTTGCACGTAGATTTTTGAATATTAGTATTATATTAAATTGTAGTAAAAAAGACAAAAATACCCCTATTAGTATGGTGTAATATAAAAGTAATGACATTTGTGTAATATATTGTAAGTTGAAAAGGGTATTTATTATGTTAAGTAGGTAGCACAATTACTGAATTAAAAAATGGTAACATTGTTTTGGAACGAATGAAAATAAAAAATTGTAATCTTTCAATGAGATAGAGATAGAGAGAGTATATTTTTATCTAAATGCATATATTGATTTACAATAAATACAATTATTATTATTTTTAAATAATATCAGTAAATAAAAAATTTAATATTTAAAAATTAAAATAATAAATATTTAAACTTTTAATTTAATATTTTATCAAATAAAAAATATTTATTATAACACTTTATTACCTTTATTAATTAAATTAATTAACTACTTAATATAATATTTTTAAAACTGTCGTGCCCAAAAAAACTGCACTAATTTGGTGGACCAATGGAGTATTAGATGAAATCAAATCAACTGTAAATCCAATTTGGAGGGCAATGCATATCACGACAGCTCTAATTCAATCAATCATAATTAAATGATTATTATAACCAATAGGGCCCCTGCAAATTACTTTAAGAGTGATTGGTACAAGGAAATTGGGATAAGAAACAAAAGGTTGTGTTTCTTGTAAGTTTTTTAATCTGATTTTACTATTTTTAATTTTTTTTAAAAATATTAAATTAAATATTTATTTATTATTTATTATATTATATTAAAATTTATTTTTACATTTAAAATATCATATCAAATAATTATTTTAATTCAAAATTTTATTATTTAAAATCAAATCTCAAAACTAAAATTTTATAAGGGTGTGTTTGTTTGTAGGATTGAATTTTGGAATTGGATTTTTGAGAATTTTAAAGTATGGATTTGTAGTTGTGTTTGTTCAGGGGATTGAATTTTGTAATGATTATATTGAAAGTAATTAGTATTTTATTGAGAGATATGATATGTTGATGTGATGGTTTGAATTAAATGATATTGAGATATAATTAAAAATCATTATTGAAAATGTTTGAAATGAAAAATTGATTTGATGTTTAAAAAAATGAATATTTTATATTATTAAATGATTTTTTTTAATTTTATTTTATATATTTTTTTATGTTGTGTGTGTAAATGTTGATTTGATAATAATTTTTATTTGAAAGTTTGATAGAATACTCCCAAAACAGTCCCCGTTTATTTTTTTTTATTGTTTCTTGTTTATTTTTTTATTATTTCGCCTTTTAGATCGTTATTATACGTAATCAAAGTTTTCAGATTTGTACGATTTATGCAATTTCGTTTTCGTAAAATCATCAAAGCTAACACTTGGGAAGTAATTTTCCCAGTCAACATGTACGTACGTCGTATCATATACCGTTTTCTGTGTTCAATTTTTCACTATTCAAATTCAAACCGAAAAATGTCGAATCCCTGCAGATAAACACCCGTTTTCTTTTCCCCACACTCCATCGAATTTGTTGGATTAAACACAACTCACTTCCTCCATCCGTTAGCGCCGAAAAATGAGCCATAGTATCACAAACTCCACGTTTTCGTCTACCATGCTGAAATTTCGCAAGCAAATGATTTTGCAGCGACATTGTGACTACAACCTCTCAACCCAATTTGAAATCGAAGTAGTACAGCAAAGAAGAGTATTAAATAACCGTTAAATGTAGGATGCAAGGTTTATAAGTTTCATTCCGTTTTGCATGACGATTCGTCCAAAAGAAACAGAGGAATCGGAGCGACATCAAACCTGTATAATGAGGTGCAATGCAGGTTTACGGTTCTACAAAACACATTAATGCCGTAGCGTACACATTACAATATTCCGAGCGTCGTAATGATGGTATGTAAGCGTGTACATTGGTTTCGGCATGTGGCGCGGCCTGCTACACCGCTGCGTTGTCGCTGTTGTTCATTACTACAATAGAAGTACTACGCATACCTGGATACGTGTTACCTTTACGCCATCATCCGCGCTCCGAGGGTGAAGCACGGCAACGTCGCATTTCTGTCATGAAGGCTCGCAGCTCTGCCCACATTCCATCGACCTTTTCCTCTAACCTGTCAAAGCGCTCGTTGAACATTGTATATAAGTTAGAGTTGCTCGGGGTGGGATGCTGCGGACCGAGCTCAGTGTGAGTAACAGGATCGCCCCGGCGGTGGCGTTGTAAAATTCCCATATTGAAAAGGGTCTCTACTCCACACGGAACCATTTGAGAATCTGGAACTCCGTCCATCAGTTCCGTTACCCCCAAACCCTTCGCCAGCCTGGTAACGTATGGGCTGACGGGAATGCTACGGACCCTTGTGTCAGAGGCAGCCGTTATACAAAGTCTGGCCACCCAATATCCTAGATGGATTGGAACCCCTTCGTTCATGCTCCAAAGGAACTCCAAATCCACCTTACTTACTGTCGCAGTTGCATTTTTCCGGCCAGAAAGTGTATGAGCAAGTATGTTGTGAACGTACCTTAAAATAGGCGACTTCAGTGTTGATGCCTTAGAAGCTCCTGGGTTGAAGTTTCGGGTGCGACTTATTCTAGGCCAGTATACTTACCAAGAAAGAGGCATTGTATAGGCCATGTTCTTGTACTCGTGTGTCTCTGTGAATTCACGGTCATATAGTCCTACTATGATGGCGAAGTCCGTGACAGATAGTGAGTAGCTACGGCCTCCCAAGCGAAACTGCAGGGCATTGGGTTTGTCATACAGATGCAAGCTCGCCTTGTCGTGCTTTATTGTGCACAAAAACTCTAATGTCAGTTCCTTGTACGAGGGCTCGTTGATCTCAAACAACCTCCGTCACGCCTCACACGAAAGTAGTCTCTCTATCTCCATTTCCCCACCCATAGCTTCCACGGCGTCAGCATCGATTACGTGTCCAGTTAGCATCGGTAAAATGCTTATTCTCTGGTACGTATCCTCAATGTCCGGTTCAGTGTGGGGTAACCGATTGAAAGGAATCAAAGTGAGCTCATCATCTTCTTCGGCCATGTCTGCAGTAAGAGTTTGCGTGATCGCTTCCCTTTCGCCGGTTTCGTCATACTTGGCCTCCTATGTTCTGCAAGGATGTTACAACGTAAACGTAACCATAAATAACAAATACGACAAATTTTATGCAGTAATGATATCTGTCGTATGAAAATATTATTCAGTGAAGATATGACTGTTATGAATGTGCACCGAAAGTATGGCAAAGTGCGCGGGAAAACTGAGCGCGAAGATCCTGTAAATGCAACGGGAAATACTCGAATGCCATTTTCAACGGCACGTACAGAAAATTAAGCATCCCCTTGCAGTCGGCTACGTAATTATCTGGTATATTGCATAATGGACCACCGCGCTCGTACGCACAGGTGTGCTGTTCATCGTGTTAGTTCTTGTCCAGGACAACTTTTGCACAGTGACGAAAGCAGTCTTGTGATTGTGCACGAAAACTATGGCAAAGTGCGTGGGAAAACCGAGGGCAAATTTTGGCTCCTTGCGACGGGAGATAGACGAATGCCATATTCAACATGACACACAGAAATTAAAGCAGCCGCCGGCACAGCCTGTGCAGTCGGCTGGGTAAATCTCTGTTCGATTGCAGGATAGAACACCCCGGTCGTACGCGTAGGTGTGCTGTTGAACGTGTAAATCTCTGTCCTTCGCAATGGTCAATGCAACATTGCCCTTTTGTGAAGTTATGGAAGAAAACATAATGAAATTAGATGCTTACAACTCTAGACATATTACGGGTAATGGTAGTTTATAAGATAAGTGGGGGAGCATTACACAAGGACACATAACAGGGAGGCGGTTAAGGGGTAAATGCATACAATTCTAGACGGATGGGTCTTCACATCGATTATACAACTGCGGGTGGAACGTCATATATAAAATAAAGGAACCGCACCCTACCCCATCGAAGGCAGAATCCTAAGTAGGCCACGAGGAGTCGAACTCTTCCTCGTGCTCGTATCTATTAATCCAAAGCCAATACGCAATCATATCACGGAATTCATTCTGATTTTCCCTGTCTTCACGGCCCGGGTTCGATATTTGGCGATTGTGTGCAACCGGTTGAGGGACTGATTCCTCATCGGTTGAGTCGTGGCCTTCTGCGGCGTGATCTAGTACATCCTCACCATGGAGTAACATAAAGTTATGCACGACGGCACAGACCATTACAAAGTTGACTTGGCGATCAAACTTGTAGTTTGGCATTGGCCCGTGAAGAATGGCGAAACGATGTTTAATACAACCAAACGCACGTTCAATGACATTACGACATTGTGCGTGGCAGTAATTGAAGTATTCTTCCTTACCTCGAGGACGTGGGTTGTTTCCCTGAAAATACGATAGATGATAGCGATACGTGCGGTACGGTGTAAGGCACTGAGGAGCGTTCATGTACCCAGAGTCCCTGATATAGTACTTCCCTACATTATAAAAAAAGAATATGAGGTGATCGTAAACGCTAAACTGCCAAGTCACATTGGAAGTTTGCCATATACTACCGTCCAGCGGGAAGGGGAAATCGCCTTGCTCTCGGATAGCGACCCTTAAGACACGAGCATCATGTGTGCTCCCTTCCAGGCCAGCGAGCACGTACGTGAACTTCATGTCAAAATCACAAACCGCAAGACAATTTTGCATCGTGTCACCCCTTCTCCCGCGGAAGAGTCGTTGATCCCTAGAAGGTAAGCATGCGTGCACTAGTGTTCCATCCATGGCGCCCACGCAATCCTAATGAAATGAGACGTCATCATAGAATAGGAAGATGGCGGAAGCAAACTACGGATGCTTGTAGATGCATTTACCTTGAAGTACGGCCAGAAAATTGGGGATTCACGAATCTTCCTCGCAGGGGACGACATATCCCCAGGCCGGATGACATGAGGTGCTAGGCGCACAAGCGCTTTGGCCACCTCGTTAACGTGGTCGCAAATTGTCGATGTCGAGTGTTGGAAAAATTCTGTAGTGGAATATAATGCTCGTCCCATCCAACCCCCCTTGTGTGCCAGCAGTTCCATCATTTGTGTTTGGTTCAACACTTGGTTGCCTATCCGGTCCATTCATTGCACTATCCCACCCGGAATATAATGGTCTGCGTGCCCCCTCCCCGGTTGGACCAAACATATCGTGGAAATAGTCCAAGCGCGCGAACGGTTTTGTTAAGAGCGATACAAAGTCTTTGTGAGCCTGAGAGAGTATGGTTAGACTAGGCCAACGAAAACTATAACGTAAAGGGATAATGATACGTTTGGTTCGCAAGTGTGAAAACGATATGTACCCGAGCCCAGTCATTTTTTCTCTCCTCGTCTGCTACTATCAACCGCGAGTCTGGATCCCATCCAAGTCCCGTTGTCGTCACCACCAACTCTTGGAGTTCCAAGTACGTCTTCTTCGTTCGCTTTAGTTTCGTCTGGAGTTGGTCTACTCTGTACTGGACATTCATCTCCGCATTGAACTTTGCCGTTATATCTTCCCACACCAGCCTTGTGTAGCTTGTTCCCTGATACTCCTCAAGCTGCCATTGCAACCACACAAGGTGGAGGAAACACTCCTCTTGTGGCAACGACCAAGAAGCCTGCGGTGTGGGAGGGTCCTCCGCTGCGCGCTGTCCGCGTGGCATTGTCTGACCAGGAGATCCAAAATACCAATCATTCTTCTATGCAATGTTTTTATTGACTCTCCATTCTACGAACCGGCTCTTATGTAATTTATAAACGAATGCACTCTAACCTTGCGTTTTTTCCCGCGTTTCGGAAGTGGGTCGCAGCTCCCAGTTGAACTATGCGCGTCCGGAACATCACCTTCCAGTTTGCACCCTATATATGCGTTAAAGGGTATGCACAGACTTTAGTACTACGCTTTCAACGTTGTAATAGGAATAGGTAATGCCTTGTCCGCCTTCTCGCACGGCATCTATATGATTTTAATTATGATACCCCAAGATCCCTTCGCACACTAACGTTACAACTCTTATTCCAGAAGAAACCATTTATGATTTTTGGAATGATCATGAAAGCATCTTGAAATAGTAACTACATGAAATAGCGACTAAGATAATGGTGAATACGCATGTTCGCATTTCGAAATTTAAAAAGCATTAGCATTAAGCGAAGATGTAGGCTCTGAACTAACGAAGCACTAAAAATTGAAACCTCAACCGGCAAAGATGTTCACATTATTCTCCCATTCCAACAGCCCCCCCAAATATATAAATCCAACCAACAACGACTGTTTCTTTTCGTACAACTCAGTGGACAATGACAACTAAGCTTCAGGTATATCTTAGGGGTGTGAACACCAACGATGAATGGGGAATTGGACCTAACATGTATGGAATTTATTGAACAAAACCTCAAAGTAATTCCAACAAAAAAGACAACACAGATTCAACTCAATGTTAATCCAAATGATTTGATTTTCATGGAAAATGACTGCGCTATCACTGTGGTGCTCAAAGTCTGTACACAATGCGAAATAAAATTGCACCAAGTTGTACGAAACACAAGCCACACACCTTAATCGTTAGCGGAAAACCAGTATCTATGTTACGGGGTGAAAAGCGAGAAGCGTATGTACCGAAGTACAATCGACTTTTCATAAGAAAGTACTTCGCAGCATCCAATTCAGGTAACATGAAAACACAATTCAACTTGAATCCCACACTTACCATCTGCAAATAAACAAAACTCATATCAACCTCAACCTAAATCTTAATAGTGCGCATAACTCCCTTCTAAACACCGACAGCAAAGGCCGCAGAGCGTACTAACAACGAAGAAATCTTGTAAACACCTTCGAAACAATAGTGAGTCTAAGATTTCCGAAAGCACACACGGTTCAATGGGTAATGACATTGAACAAACCTCATCCCATACATTCCAAACGAGGATCCTAATGTCCCCTATTACATACCCTGACTGTGTTAACAAGATTCAAACGACTCTCGTCGGAAGTTCCACAATTCAGCAACTGCTACGAGCTATTAATTGTGCCAGAAAATCAAATCAACCACTACCCACGAACCACCCACTGCTTATTCTAGGGAAGCTTTCTAGGTAAGTCGAGAGCGACAGAATCGTTCCGATATAAAATCCAAAAACAATTTATTCTCACCGTTTAAAAAATTACACTCGATCTACGCCGAAAAGGGGGGTAATACTTGCTACAATAAAATCACACTATAATACCTAAAGTTCGACATAGATCACTCCCTTCCTACCTAAATCAGCCACAACCGAAGAAATATCCTCTCCGAATTGCAGAAATTTCAGCCGAGTTTAAAAAATCAGAGAAGAGTATGCCCGAACTTACGCTAAATCGACAAAACGGGGTCGAGATTGACTAACCTGTGTGCCGTCTGGTTGTCGCCGCTGCTAACTCCTCTTCCCCAACCTCACGCCGGTGTTAAACCCCTGTAAATCTACGATCGAAGCACTACTCACCGATGTGTTTATATTACCTCAACCTATCACCTGAACAATTCTTAATTCCATGAATGCGCCTGACGAGAATTGCAGAGATTCTTGACAGTTTCAGGCTACGGCGTAGGCAAGTAGGGGTGGATTTAATTTTTCAAATATCTACGGTAAATCCACAGTAGAACTAAAATTCAATTCACCAACCGAACACACCCTAAATAAACTTATTTTTAGGGGTTTTCTTTTGAGTGATTTGTTTTTAATTTTTTATCTATAATTTCTTTTAAATATAAATTAAATATTTATTTATTATTTTTTATATTACGCTAACATTTAATATAATCGTTAGATAATTACATAAGTTTTTATTTATATTATTTCAATAACTATTCAAATTAAAAATATTAATATTCAAATCAAAACTTTCAAACAAACACATCATATTCTTGTTTGTTTGAATTCGGAAATTCAAAATTTAAAAATGAATTATTTTTCATCATCTCTATTTTCATTCATCTCCAATATCCACATAAAGGGCGTTTATTTGTCAATTTATTTTTTTATTCTAATTGTTACGATTTTTTATAAATATATACTATTGCCTTCATTCGAAAATTTTAGTCTATTTTTTTTTGTAAAAATATAAAAAAAAAATGAGAATAAATTCGTCAGTATTGAATATTTGATAATTTGACTTTAATAAACAAATATCACAAAAAATGCAAATATCCATACATATATATAATAAATGTAAATAAAATTAGTGTTATTGAGCTCGATCCACGAACTTCCATTATTCCAAGACCCAATGTCTATGTTTGAAATTTAATATAAACTTTCCAAGCCCACATCGCCCACACATTAGCACCAAATATTCTATTTAAAATTGTTCGAGTCTAAATTATTTTATTGAAAGTTCAATTTATTTGTATTTTCAATGTGGAACAAAGTTCTTTTATCTTTCTTTCCTTTTCACTTTAATACACTCAATAAATACATTATTTCCTCTAAATGGATTCATTCAGATCATTGTATTTTTATTTAATATTTTCAACTGATTTTTTTATTTTACGAAACAAAAAAAAAAATCAATTTTTATTATTTACTTAATTATTTCTTTTTATGAAATTTTTATTCCATATTATCATTCTTTTATAATTCTATGTTTTATACAACTTTGTTGAGAATGATTCAAAGCCATAAGAATAAAAGTAGTGCTTGAGGAAAATTAGCTGATTGTTAAGCATGGTTTTTACATATATTATTTACTACATTGTTTACTTAAGTCAATGCTTATTTTATAAAATAAACATCAACATTTTTTTCCAATAATCTCTAACTAGTATTTTACTTTTTCTTCATTATGGTATCAATATCAGGTTCAATCGTCTCAGCAGCAACGCAATGACGTTAAACAATGCTGTGTTTGTTTGGGATTTGGATTTTGAGTTGAGATTTAAATAGTAAAAATTTTGAATTTAAATAGTTGTACGATGTGATGTAAATAGGTATTGATGTGATGTTTTGAATGTAAAATTAATTTTTAGTATAATATAAAAAATGAAAAACAGGTGTTTGACTTGATGTTTTTTAAAGGAAAAATTGAAATGAATAGTATATTTAAAATCCAATCCCCCGTACAAACACACAGTATATCCCAACCTCAAATTCCCATTTTTAAGAAGGATGCATTTGAATTCTGGATTATAAAGATGCAAACACTATATAGATCATAAGATCTATGGGATTTGGTTGAAAACGAGATTGTCACAACGAATTCAAATGATAAAAAGGTTCTCAATAAAAATGACAAGGCCTTGTTCTTCATCCAACAGACAATTGATGAAGTTATATTCTCAAGAATTGTAGAAATAATCTCAGCAAAACATGCTTGGGTCATTCTTAAAATTGAATACTACGGGTCTACAAATGTGATTACAGTAAAATTACAATTTTTTAAAAGCGATTTTGGGACATCAAATATGAAACAAAATAAGTCCATGCAAAATTATTATTCTCAAATCTAGTATGTTGATGCCCCAATGCACACATATAGAGAGAACACTAATGCTATTGTCATTGCAAACATTATAAAGAGTCTGCCTCCCAAGTTTGATCACGTCGTAACAATAGTAGAGGAATCCAAAGATCTCTCCACCTATTTGATTGGTGAGCTCATGGGATTGTTTCAAGCACATGAGGTCGGAATTAATAGAAGCACTAACAAGCAAGATGAACAGGCTTTTTAGGTGCAAGGGGAGTCAACTATAGCTACAATAACCATAGGTCATGGTAGAG